ATTTGTAAGTAAATCTTGTATTAGATTCCAATCATTAAAATTTTCAACTTATTTAAGACTGACATTTATTTAGTAGAAAACATAGGAGTCATTTTTAATCATTAAATCTTAATTTATTTCGCTATATCGGAAAGTTCCCACATACCTAAACTATGTAAAGAAAAAGACTACATATTTGCCATAAATCTCTCGAAAAGCTGTATAAAATTAAAAAAAACTAGTAATATATTGCATATTGCAATTTCTGATAAGGAAAATATGTTTTAGATAGATAGAAGAATGCCTGTTATTTCAGTAAAAAAATGTTCTTCGTTGCCTGTTTCATATTTCTTTATTAAAGAAAATAATTAATACAATAGAAAAAAAGAAATAAATAATAATTTATTCGATCTTATATTTCCATAAATATCAACAGAATCTTTATTCAATACTTGACATAATGAGCAAAATGATACTATATCACTGCTGGTCATGTTATTTTTCCATCGTAGACTACAAAAACCAATAGTCTTTTTCACATCATTATATGAGACTATGATATGATGGAAGAAGCTTTTGAAAAAAGGTACACACTAAATGTATTATTCTAAATCGAAATTTATTTTAGTTTTGATTAATTTATTCGATGACTATGAGTACGAATTTCAGAGAAATTTCACTTGATGAAAAAGAATGTCATTTATTATTGCTAAAACGTTCCATATAGTAAATAAAATCTTAATAAGTAAAATACTATTATCAAACATTATTAAGTCAATAAATAAATATTGATTATAATGTCTAACTGTTACGCAATATAAGTCATCAAAATAGATATTCTTTCGATAATGATTCTGATAGAATACTATCAGTGAGCAACTATGGTATGTCTATGTTGAATTTACCTTGACTTTAATGAGATTCAGTTTTATAATGTAACCTTATCTCATAAGATATGCCTGGAAGACATTTACTAAAAGAAGCTGATAACATCGAACAATCTTATTTGATTGATGTTGATACGATGCCCTAGTCCAAAATTCATACGAATGTGAAATATGCTGCACATGACTTAAGACAATATAAATATTATAAGGAAATTTAAAAAATCTTAATCAATATGTAATTCATATGAACTACTTTTCTACTAATTTTTAAACTAATCATGTTTTCTTATGATACCCGATGGAATACGATTTTAAATCATCGAAATTGCGTTTATTATTTTTATTCTATTAGTTTTAGTCCGGAAAAATCCCAAATGTGTAATAAGTTTAAATGCCTTTCCCCAACATTCGTCGATGTTTCTTTGTACATCATTTAGATTAATTGTGAAAGTCACGAATATCTTATTTTATGAATAGTAAATCAATTTCCTTTTAATTGTTTCTTAGGGTAAATTTGCCTCCAATACTTTTCAACAATAGAGTATTTTTTGTATCGTTACAAACATTAACCTTACAATGAATTTTAATGCACAAATAGCATGCTAAAAGGATAATTGATCTCAATTTTTTTTCCAGATCACCTACAACAGATTTGATCCATTTTGTTTGTACACTTATTAATACTTCGTCAATAGAATTCGATTGATATAAAATATTAAAATGTTTTTAATTTCAAGGTTTTAGAAAATTCTTTATATGAAACAAATTTTCGTAAACATTTCATTCAGACACTTATTTTGTACAATATACAGTTAGTGTGTTATATCATAATCATCTACTTGATTTATAATAGTAAACGATATTAATCAAATGATTTCTTTGCTTCTCATTAATCATTTTTACGATAAAAAATCAGTATATATTTCTCTATTGCCATCAATCAGAAACTTCACTCTCTGTTTTTATCGAATCTTTGTTCTAAGACATCATCATCCTACATTAGGAACTCTTTAAAGACATTGATCATTATTGAATAGATAAAAAAATTAATATTTAGATCACTAAATATAAAAAAAATCATTCTATTATATATTTGACTGTAAGTAGATAACAATCGACAAATATTGTCTTTTTTTTATGACAGATTATTTTATCGAAGACAAATATTTTGATAATATTTCGCAAGTAAAAATGATCGTGATTTCTGACTTCTCAATCAATCTTGTCTTTAATCTAGTGTGTATATATGACAATGATTGAATTCATTAGTTCTATTCATGCAATCAATATGAAAAACACGTAGTTGATTAAATGCATGACCTTCTTTTATTATTCAATATCATATTTAGAAAACATGAAAAGTATAATTTTCAATCGAATCCATAGTAAATCAGATTTAAATGATGTTAAGAAGACTGATTCAATCATAGAAAAAAAAAGGAACTCATATACAATAATAGAAATCAATAATATTTTATCAGTGTTAAGCTGTTTCCTTTGGCTTTATCTATTATTGAAATAAAAGTTTTTGTTTTTTTCTGTTATCCTAGTTTACGTGTTATATTACTCATCTTCGAGAAAAATGTCAAACTTTTTAGGTTTTTTTTTCTCACGTATTCGTCAACTTTTGTTTTCTTCGTTTTGATGACTTAAAACGTGAAGCCAACAGCAATCTTTGTGCGTAGGGTAAAATCATGCTCGTCTTACTAATAAGTGTCCGTTTCATTCTTACTCAGAACAACAACAAACACGATGAAATCCAACATTAGCATGAAATGCTTACCAATCTCTTCAAGGTTTTTTTTAATGCATCTTATAAACAAAACATCAATCGAATTTTTTTTTTCTTTTATTAATATTCGAAAGAAACTTTATATCTGATATTCCAATTGTTTTTTATTATAGGTCAGGAAATATAAAAAACCCTTAAAATACACATGCATGAATGAATATATAAATCATTTAAAGACGCATGGGTAATTCCGTTGAGATAAAAGTAAATTAGATAATGAAACTAGACAAGAGGAATGAAATAAGAACGACTTTTTAATAAAATTTCAATCATAGAAATAAAAGCAAGAACTTTTTTTCTCTGACAAATCGAATTTGTAAGGAAAAACGAGCAAACACTCAACTAAGCTTTGCGTGAAGAAAAAGTGTAAGCACTATACAAGGACGTAGTGGCCTTGTTAGTGTCTGTTTGGGAATAGTACAAGGTTATGTTGTGGTATTGATGTTGATCTTGATGGTTAAAAAGGAGGATGATAGTATTGGCACAACGGAAGGCGAGAAATTTACCAATGTAGATGATTAAAAAATGCAGACATATAAAGAGAAGATCATGTCAAGGTAAAAGTAAATAGATAGACAATCAAAGTACAAAGCTTTTAATAACACTATTATTAGAAACAATTAAATCTATAATTTTTTTTGTTTAAAAAAAATGAATTTCTTTTTAGATAATCTTAACGTTTGAATTAATTTTTTTTTTTTTTTGTATGAAGTATAGCTTAAATTTTGAATGGAGAGATAAATTGTTTATTCGAATTTTTAAATAAATAATTGGGGGTTTCTGTTGCGTCTTGTTTTTTTGTTTGATTTTATAACTGTTTATTGCATAGACGATTTAAAATGTTTTTTTGTAATTATTTGGATGTATTGAATAGAAGTTTTTCTGTCTATTCCATTTTTTTTTTGGTAATGATGTTTTTTTTAATAAGTATTATATTTCTTTTATTATCTCAATAAAATCTTTTGCCTTATCATCTTGAATATGCATTCTATTCACCATTAATAATTGGAAAATAGTTTATGGTGTAACAAGATGATTAAATGACTATCTTGAGTTGCGTAATCAATGATGATTTAGTAAAAAGATGGTTATATAATCCTGATTACTCATTTTCTATTATGAATTAAATCCACCGGCGTTCTTCCTTTCTGTCTTTCTTTTTTTCTTTTTTCTTTTGGATTTTATTTGTTATTTTCGAGTATTATATATCGTTTTAAAAAAAAACCGATTTTCAGTGAGTATGAGTATATACTTTCGAATATTCAATTTGGCTTAAACTATATCATATTTTTTATTTTGATTGCTATTATTCATGTGAGTATAGACGATCAGTCTTCTTTTTTTTGCTTATTCTCTCTTTCTCTTCACCCTTCTCTTTGCCCCGCTGCTGGACGTGAGCCAAAAATAAATATACAAGTTGCATTTTTTTTTTATTGACCGCATGCACATACAATAAGTATTACTGGGTGACTATAATAGGTCGAGAGAACGCAACAAAGATGAATGCTCGTTATTTGCCTCATCCAGACGAGTGTGAGAAATAATTTTACTCTGACCGTCTATACCATATGTTATACATACGAGCTAATTTTACTATTGTATCGAATATAACACAAAAAAAAAAACATATATACGAGCTTAAACTCTCATTTACATTTATTTTTCTCCATAAATTTTATTTTTATTTTCTCTCTATAAACTTCATTCAGTCATGGAGTGCCACAAATCTAGTAAAAAAAAATAAATAATAACGACAAGAAAAACGAGCCCGAGAAAATGGAAAAAAAGAGAACGGGTAATAGAGTCCATTGCATGCAAAACAGTCGAAAGCAAACAAGAGACAGATAGATTAGCATTCATATTAGATGCCAATGGAAATAACTTTGAAGGCACCGAATGTATTGCGTATGAAGAAGAAAAAAAAAAGGACAAAAAGGAAAAAGATTCAACAAACTAGAAAAAAAATAATAAATCATATAAGCACTTTTTTAGATAAAAATATCGTATAATCATGTGAAAAATGCTTATAACGAAATTGTTGCTAAGCAACAAGATAGATCAATAAAAACAGTAATATTACAAAAAAAGTGCGAACGCACAAAAGAATCAGAAAAAGAAGAAGCCAAAGGAGAAGAAAAACGAAGAGAGAACGAGAGAAGTCGTTCTCGCTCTATGTATGCGTCCACGGGGCCGACTAGGGGCAGCGTTTGTTTCGTCGAATAATTAACATATTACCGGCAAACTCACACCAGTATTCATTCAGGACACGTAGAGCAAAACAAACCGCAAAAGTTATATAGGCACAACAAAACTTTTTTTTTCTATTCTCAATTGACAATCAAATGATCGCAGAAGATATAGATGGTGATCATTCGAAAGAATATTCTGTTGTTGAAACAAAACGACATAAACCATGTTTAATATTTCGTGGTTATCGTTATGTACAAGATAAAATACAAAATCGAACTATTTATTGGCGTTGTGAAGATCGTACACACTGTAATGGTCGTGCACATCAATTAGTTGGCAATGGATCACTACCTATTCTGACAATAAAACATAATCATCGACCAATTGTTGATGATATTATTATAAATGAAACTATGACCGTTGATGGCCAGCGTCGTCAAAGACGAAGACAAAATCTTAAAACATCTTATTATCAGCAGAATGACGGGGGTAAGCATCGTCATATTTCATTTTCTTGTGTTTCCACACGGTCAGGTGGTGATGACGTGGGAAGAAGGGCAGTAGATAGAGGGAGGGCAGTCAATAAGGATAATGGGACGGTGAAAAAAAAAGAGGAGCGACGAATGAAAAGAATAAAATGTCCGTCCGCTTTGCTCGCAGAAGCCGACGGGTCGTCAAAGAAGGAAAGAAGCAAGTGACATATTTTGTATTTTTGTATACGGGCATATACATGTTTCGCCTGAATTTAGGTTAAAAAAAATATTCTTGAAAGTACGATGAAAAACTATTGTTCTATTTTTTTTCCCAATATCTTTTTTTTTTTTTTTTTGAAAAAAGAAAAAAAACGATGATAATTAAATCTTGTATACTTAAGGTAGGGTATATATTTTTTGTTTAAATAAATCTATTGTATATCATTCGTCATATGAATGTTTTTCCATATTTTTTTTCGTTACTAAAACAGATAAAAGATTTCATTCCTATAGAAAATAAATATTTGTTGTCAAGTAATAGCTGTACATGTTTGGTTTAATTTTCAATAGAAACAACAATGCACACACTTCTCGCCCCCACCACCTCCTTCTTTATTAAACAACAATCAGAAGGAAAGTACATATATCTTTCTAAATCTGTACATATCATTAGACAAATTCTTTGTTTTCCTCCTCTTGGCTAATAACAATCATTTGATTCTTATTTTTATGTTTGTTTGTAGCTGTTTATTCATCAGATTTTCTACATTTATTCGATGTTTGATTATTCACATGGACGTCCTGTTTTTTTTTTCCTCGTTTTTTTTCCTATTATATGTATATATTTATATCAATACTGTTGATGACGTTTATTGAGAATCGATGAGGAAAAGAAAAAATCCGACATTGATTGCTTTGACCGGCTAAATAGGAAGCTTTTTAGATACGACCAACTGGCTCGCAATAAACTGGTACGAACAAGACCGACGTCGGCTACGATGCTTCTCCTTTAACTAGTGCAAGATTTCTTTCGTTCGCATCTGCGCATGTAGTATGCTGTGCGCATGCGTCGCGTTTGCATACTGGATAAGAAACAGAACGAGAGAGAGAGAGCGAACGATTGAAAAGGGCAACCATCATCACTACTATCGTCGCTGAGAGAATGGATGAGGGAAAGAATGCGCTGAGGGGCCGGGCCCCATTTCTCGACCCTTTGTCGTGATAATAATGACGTGTGTAGAGACGATGAAGAAGAGGAAAAAATTGTGTATGCTCATGTTCTGGCAAATTTGAAAGGTGAGATGAAATTAACGTCGGAAACGAAGAAATCTATCCGTTGATCAGTCGCTTAGCAACACTCATTTGATCCCATTTCTATACATACGGATGCAATATAAATTACATCAAGGCATTTTATAAACAACAACAACAACAACAACATTTTTAATGGTAAAAAAATGATTCACCAAAAAAAAACATGACAACAGCAATAACAAATAAATCAGAATTTATGATCTTCTTCATTTCTATCAGAAATTAATTCTCATAATCATTTACACATGAGAATGTGAGATAGATTAAAAAAGAAAAAAAAATCAAATCTACACATATATGCGGAACTTTTATTCCTTTTTTTTTCTTCTTCCCTCTTCTATCCCATATTTGCATTCATTAAATACCTACATGCGCTTTCTACCAGCGCCAGTTCGATGTCATGGTGATTATTTTCTTATTTTATATGTATTGTTATATAGATGATCTTTTATTATCATCAACATCATCGACCATGACATCACCGATTAAAATTGAAAATCCTCAAAATCGTCAGCAGCATTTACAACAACAACAGCACGGAGCTATGGTAAAAAATTTACATTTATCTGAAGTTATCACAACAGCTGCTGCTACTAACACACATCATTATAATGGTGTTGGTCAACATCGTCACAATACAGTTGATCCAATTGAAATGACTAAATTATTAAGTAATATAACCACCACCACCACCACAACAACAACACCAAGTAATTCTACAACAAAAACCATTCCAACATCTTCAAATATGGATTATCCAAGTCGTTTAAATCATTTTTCCTGGGAAGAAATTGAAGGACGTTATTTACCAGTTATATTCAGGTACGCATGACTTTTTATATCAAAAGAAAGAAACAAACAAACTAGTTTTTGTATTTTATCATTTTTAAGAAGTGAAAATGATTCTTTACAACGTTATACATCAAAAATGTATGTTGAACATACTCTATTTCAAAGTGAATCATGGCAACGATATGTAGTATTAGCACGTTCACTTCCACCATTAATATCATTTCCATATACAGAAAATGAATTAAAATTATTTCGTTTAATTGTTGAATGGCATTTAGCTAGTTTTCATTTTAAAACAATTTTACCATCCGATTGTCTTATTCGTTTTGAAGATCTTTTGGATTTTTATAATGCATTAAGAAAATTACGAGATTCTGTAACAACAGCAACAGCAGCAACAACAACAACATCAGCAACAACTTTTAATCGGCCATTACCACCTCCACCCATACCAATGGCACCACCTAAACAACGCGTACTTCCATCATCAGCATCATCATCATCAGCAGCAGCAGCAGCAGCAGTAGCAGTATCAAATGGTTTAGCACAATCATTTGAATTACCAACAATGACTGGTAATGCATCGATAAAACAGCCACATACACACCAACGTCATCCATCATCAACGAAAATTTATCCTCCAACAGTTCATCATTCTCATTCATCACATTATCTTTTACAACAAAATGCTGATTTACTTGCATCATTTTCTAATCCATCATCACAAACATTCAGTTTTAATTCCGTAACACCAAAATCTAATGTACCACTATTACAATCATCATCAAATCAGGTAAATTTAGAAAACAAAAGGAAATTTTCTTCAATCATGCTTTTTTTTTCTTATAGTGGAGTGAAAATATACCGAAAATAAATGATAAAATTCGTCCGCCACTACCACCTGTTCCAAGACCTCCAATTCCTATGAATAATGTTCCACGACAAGAACAAATAATACGTGATAAACAATTATTATCACAAAAACTTCCACATCAATCAATCGATAATCATAATTTATCTCGGGAAACAAAAGAATCTGGTTGGGTACAAATAAATAATGTATTCGTTCCTTATATTGTTAAATTAAAACTACGTGAAAGTGAACTTGGTAAATATAAAAAAAAAATTTGTCTATCATTTAAGAGAGGAATTATAAGACCATCGAGTATACGAGTCACCCAATAAAAAAACAATCTTTCTGTTTTTCTCCATGCACTTAATGAATCGATGCCTGGAATTTTTAATCTGGGTATTCTAGCATTCAATATTCTTTCTTTCAAATGTCAGTCAACAACGACTTTTTACCACTATCGTATCCTTATGAGAATTTTTATGAATTGAAAATTGAACAATATGATCTATTTCAATATAATCCAGTGTTGATTGAGTCAAATTCTATAAGACCAATATAAATAAAAAATGATTCTTTAGATGAGTCTAAAATGTTCATTTGATAACAATTTATATCGTATTAACAGTTAGAATCAAAGAATTTTAAGCCTAATTTAATATTCAACGTTTTCTTCTCTACGGAATCATAATAAAGTATTAAAAAAATAAATGTTATGTTCGAGGCAAAACAAGATTCATATCTGTCTCTTACATCAAGGTTTTCGATGATTTTTCAACAAAAAATAAAAACATTTGACGATTTTTATTGCCTTGATAGAATTGTCTATCAACATTAATACGACAGTCGGAATCAACGTTACAAATTGTATTAAATCAAATACATTTTAGAGAAATTTTTTCTGTGAAACATTCACTTGCAGTCTCCCCACAGCTGTATCATATTAAAATTTTGCCCTGTAGTCCTTCCAGCGTCAGTTTCTTCCGCAGAAAACATTTCTCTAAAATGTATTTGATTCCATGAAGCTTTTGATATTGAGTCTGAAACTTATTTTTCTTCACGGCTATATCGTGTCAGTGAAAAGTCTCTAAAAATGCGTTTCGTTTTATATTGAAAAATTATCGATACCATTATGTATGAGTGAGATGTAAACCATGTTTTGTCTCGAACATAACAATAATTTTTGAGTGTTTTTGGTGAGAATAAAAAGTTGCATAACATATAAATAAAATTCAGTTTGAAACACTGTGACTCTGAATTTCAAAAGAAGATAGATTTTTTATCAAATGAGTATTTTAAACTCATCGAAAAAGCCGTTTTCCATTCATCTTGACCTTATAAAACTTCAATCAGTTCACACTAGATTATATTGAAATAGATCATTTTGTTCAGTTTTTAATTCTATATCTTTTAATATAATTTATCATAAAATTTCAACGATTTATTCAAACAAAGACAAACACAAGTTTTACAGTGTTTCTTTCTCATAGGAATATGATAGTAATGAAATGCCGTTAGTGACTAACATTTGAAAGAAAAGCTATTGGATGCTAGAATAGTGATATTAATAGTTTCAGACCTTGATGCATTAAGTGCATAAAGAAACGGAAAAAAAAGAGTGTTTTTCTTTCATTGAGTGTTTGGTATACTCAATGGTCTTATGATTGTTCTCTTAATTTGTTGTTTAAAATAGAAAAATGTTCAACACGCCAACCTCCACCACAATTACAACGTGAATTTTATGTACCATATGAGATTCTAATTAAATGCCATATATTTTCTGATAATGAATTTACATTTAAAAAGTTTTTAATTAAAGCAACACAACAAGATTTTGATATATTTAATAATCTTATATCAAATATAAATATATTTGATGAAAAAGTGCCGGAAAAAACTTTATTAGTTAATTTATATCATGTTATGATTGGTTTACAAAGAATTTTATATGTTAAATTATTAACAACAAAACAACCGCGTACACAAGTTAATAAATATCATGCTGAAGTATTAGCACATAAAGGTGGAACATTGCTTATGCATGAAAATAAACTTGTACCATATATATTACAAAATAATCGTTTTTATGTACCAGTTGTTTATGCATTTCATTCATTACCACATATTGTATCACAAGCTAAACGTGGTGCACGTGCACCACGACAATATGAAATTGATTATTTGAATTTATTATTTCTTTATTTTTCAATTGATTCACCACCATTAACATCGGACACATTACTTGTTGATGCATTTAGTATAAAATCACCTGATTTACAACCACCAATTCATTTTCGTACATTAACTGAACATCAACAATATGAAAGAAATAAATTATTAAATACAATTATGCGTATAACACAAACAAATACTAATAATAAAATACCAAATAAATTACAACAACAATCAGCAACAAAATCATCAGTTTTAACAAATACATCAACGCATAAATCAAATAAATGTCCGCCTGCAAATGTTGTTGTTAATCCATTAATTCATCATCCATCATTTTATGGTTTATCATCAACAATATCACCAATAAAACAAACAACAGCAACAACAACAGCATTACCTACATCATCTTCAAATTCAGTTGTTGTTAATCCTTTATTGTTACCATCAACAAATGATTTAGAATCAACAACAAAAAAATCTTCTAAACCAACTCAAATAAAAACAATTAAATATGATAATCATTTATTAAATGTTATTTTAAAAACATCGGATCAATCAATAAATGATTCAAAAATATCTATTAAACATATATTTGAACAATTTTCATTTAATATTAATTATGATAAATTTATTCAATGGTGTCAAACTAATTTATTATTACCATTGATTAAATTAGATGATGAAGAAAAAAAAATTCTTAATAATAATAATAATAATAATAATTATACTGATGATTATTATGTTGATTATCGTCATCTTGATAGATGTATTGAACTATTAAATGATCTTAGACGTGGTACAATTAGTATGACTTTATTACCTTCATCAAATAATGAGTCACAACAACAAACAGCATCAATCAAATCACAATTAGCTGGTACATATTTTTCTTTCTAAATATATATATGCATAGTGCTCGTTTAAATTATCTAACCGAATGCAAATTCGATGTTTTTGTTTTGCTCTTGTAGGAAAGAATCTAAATAATGATTTGAATAAAGAAAAACTGTTTACAGTAAATACTTACAGTTCAATTAGAGAAGTTTTTTTTTTTGACAATAGAAGACGATAGAGCAGACCTTTCACAACAAAATATGACGTCTCCGAGCTCTCAGCGACGTTTTTTTTTCTCATCGGAAATAGTAAAAAAAAAACGCCTTTTGAGTCTTCCGTATTTTGGTGCGCAAAAAATATCGTGAACAGCTCGGAGACATATCATTGTACTGAGAACATTTTGCTCTTTTCTTAAAACAAATTTTAATATTCGATTTTGGATACTGAAAACCCAGCCATTCGGTTTTCTAGAAATCCTGAGTTTTGGAAATATATCGAAAAATTGAATTTCCTATACTTAAAACAACATTTACATTCTTTATAGCGTCGACTACAAGAGCAAAAAATTGAATTTACATCTGATTGGATAATTTTGATGACTACTATGTACCTTGTGACCTAAATTAAAGTTTAGCTAGTCAAAATTGGAACTTTTATTTTAACCACATGATATTAAAAAAGCATTTTCCCGATGAACCATACGACTTAGATAAAGAATAATAATAAGAGCATGGGGTGGAAGTAGAATGAGAATGCGTGGAAGAATCTACTTTTTACACTTTCTTTTTAACTCTTCTACCACTCCGACATCCTCTTCCTTACGCCTGATATCTTTCATGCTCGAACAATTGATTTTCTTTTAAGTTCTTAAGATGATAATTTTGTTTAGTCAAAAAAAACTTTAAATCCGAATTTTATTCGAACAAATTTAAAATTAGATCAAAACGTTTATATATATTTACAGAAATATTTCTTCTTATAACAGATACAGATTAATATTTGATTTAAAAAAAACAAACTCACAATTTAGTTTTCTTTTCCTTCCGTTATTTGATCTTTAATTATAAATATATGTTAATCAACATTACAAAACAAAATAAATTTACTTTTTATTTTTTATTTTTAGGAGCTAAAAAACGTAAAACAACAATACCAACAACACGTCATATACCGCCTCCATTACAATCATCATCACCGTCATCATCAACATTAATAAGAAATGAATCATCAAATCCTATTCCAAATGATAATGGTTATCTATCACCAGAATTACCTCTTATTGAAGACCAACCAGTTTCATCAACGACACATGATTCAATAATTAATAATGATACTAATGATGAGGATGATATTATGCCAGTTGTAGATACTGTTGAAGAAGAACAACCAATTCAAGAATCAAATCACTTCGATAGGAATACATCATTACTTATAATTGATTCAAATGAATGTGATGATGGAAAAATTCAACTTGATGACACATTACCATCATGTTCATCTGGTTATGAATCAGCAGCACCATTAGCAAATGTTGATATTAATATGGTACATAATGCAAGTAGTGATGATGATGAAACAAATTCTACATCACGATCAAGAGAACATTCATCATCATGTCAATCTGAACAATCTCATGCACCTATTCTATCCACAGTATCAACAAATATAACATTAAATATAAATGAACCAGAAAAAAATGATTTAACACCGGTGATAACAAATCAAAAGTCTAATATTCGACAACGTGATAAATATGGTAAATTTCGTGCACGATCACGTTCACCAACACCACGTAATATAAAAAAGAAACGATCATTTGATGATGATTTATCATCAGCAAATACAATAACAAGTGATCAAATAGAACAACATTTACGAACATTATTAATGCCAACAAATGAACAGCGTCGTACACGTACAAGACCAATTAAAACTCCGACACGTCTTGTTGAAGAAATAGCTACAAACAATTCAATCAAAACTACTGAGCCAGATATGAATACTTTCGATGTGCTTTCAACATCATCATCATTAACAACAACTGATAGTATAAATAAAACAAACAGTAATGAGCCAATGATAAATCATCAACCATGCACATATAATGTAACTATATCAAATAAACCAAATAAATTAGGTTTAACTATAAAAAAAGTTATTCAACGATAATAGAATTTATGTATTCGTTTTAAAACAAGGCTGAGAAACAGTCTGATTATTATTTTTTTTTCTCTATGTTCGATGTTTTTTTTATCATGTGCATGAAGAGGAAGAGCGTGAGAGAGACAAAAACGAATGCTCTATTATCTTACATTTATATTCGTCAATTCTTTACTTATGTCATTGAATTGACTTTGAAAAAATTCTTCCCGTCCCTTAAAATCTATATATTTGTATATAGATTGATTGTTGTTATAACTGTTTTTCTTTTTGTCTGAATGTACAAAAAAAATTTGTCGTCTACATCGATTTTCGTTGTGTTTTGCGCTTTTTTTCCTTTTGTATAAGACACATCATGTTGATTGTTATTTGTGTATTTCATTTTTTTTTTCTGATGATAGTTCAGGAGAATAAGAATTACATATGAATTAAAAGAAAAAAAAAGAACTTTGAACTCATATGATTAATCATATCGTTTTCTTTCTTTTTTTATTATTATTATAGTGACAGAATAACAAGAACAGTTTATGATTCAACAGTCATACCACTGAGCAAGTATCCACTTGCTCCAGACATACGAATGAATGGATGAGTTCGTTCGTCGAGAATCTAAAAATAAATTTATATTAAAATTATTCATAGAACTCAAGTATGAAATATAATTTTGTGATAATTTCAAAGTATATTGGATAGTATTATATTAAAGGACGAATAAATGCATTTTTTTTTGTATGTCAAGGACAATTTAATATTGCATGTTTTTAACAATGTAGGAGAGGAAATCATTTTTTATCATTAAACATAATAGAATATTGCAAAGTATATCTATTGGAAGACAATTTTTAATTTCAAATCGTATTGAGTATAGTTTTTATCTAGCCGAAAAGTTTTAGTTTCGATTATAAATTACTATATTTTCATGCTTATTCTAAAGCCTCAAGAAATAAGTACTCAATGAATTTAACACTCTAGATATTGATAATTTATTTATATTCCAGTCAGAGAAAATTGATATTCATTTCTCTTTATTTATAATTCAGAAAGAAAAATTACTGGCAAAACGATTCATCAATGTTTCGAGGTAATCAATCTTTTTGCTCGAATGATTTAAAAACTAATGAGATGCAAATAAAGCAAATATTGCATTCCATTTAATGTAAGCAAAAATCAAATGAATCGTATTATTCTTGTATAGCGTATAATAATCAGGTGTTTTTTTTTATACTGATGATTCACGATTGTTATAAGTCGTACAGTTTAGCACAAATAAGAATCCGATTGATTAAATAGTCTAGTGCGAGATTTACATCTTCTCATCTTATTTTTATAAATAATTGAAGTCTAATCGGATTGAAAAGATGAAAAAGTGTATTTAAATTTAGAGAGGTGATGATGCTACAATAGATATTATTTAACTAGTTTCAAATAATGACTTAATCATACAAAAAGTTGTTAAAGATGCTAACGCACTCCTCTATGTCTGTAAAGAGGACGAAGGTCTTCTGATAATATGTCTGACGAGATTCGAGTCCTTTTTCTTTAAGTGGAACTCAATCGTTCATAGGAAAGCCTGACGTCGAAAGTCTCCCAACTGATTAATCGCTATTAAGACGAGACTATGCGCATCATGTAGGTTCTAATGAGCTATGAATATCCTAAAAAGAGTTTGAGCTCTTAGCTTATTGCTGCTGAGGTATTGCACTTTTACAGGATTTTCTAAGTCAATACCGTGGATAATAGGTTATTGTGAAAGTTTCACATATTTTCGTTGTTCTTATTCTAAGATCTAGCTATGGTAAAAGCTTGTCGTTTTACACTGCTCCTATACATCAACAGAACCGATGTTCATATTTCAAGATAGGAACAAATTAACAGACCTGAAATTTTCATAATAAATTATTCTGGCTAAGACCTATCTCTGTGCAAAGTTTCAACGCAAAATTTGAAGCTCAGTTTTTATGAGCGGAACCTCACCAGATATGAAATCTCTTTTTGACCAAAACAATGTTCATTTGATAAGTACTTGTGATTAACAGAAAAGTCTAGAATGGTTTAGCTTTTCAAGTCTTTATTCTTGAGATGTGGAAATTTTATTGGATTTTTCCAAAAAAATAGCTACAGCTTTCCTCAGACCACGTAGAAAATCGACCTTCGAATCTTCTACTCTGAGGCATTGAATATTCTAAATTCTCTCATGTGTACAAACAAAGTTTGTCCATATATTTACATATTCAGAAAGAAAATACTAAAAAAGCTAAGCTACGTGACCATAGCTTTTTTTTAAATGAAAACTAATAAAATTTTGATATCTGAAGAACAAAGGCTCGCAAAACTAAACAATCGTGCACTGTTTTTACTACTCATCAAATGAAACATTGTCTCTATTGAAAAGCGATTTGACATCTGGAGTGAATCCCTTGTCAGAAGTAATAAGCTACGACCTCGAACTCTCCTCAGGGTATTCCTAGTTCATTAGAATCTACATGCACATAGTTCTGACTACAAAGTGATTAATCAGTTGAGGGGCTTCCCTCATGATATTACACTAGTAGTTTTAATTGAACTCTACTGTTTATGAGACTAGAAACATTTTTTGTTCTTACCTGATATTCTCTTAACCATGAATCGGCTATTTCAACATGAATATTACCACCACGTTTTTTCAAAAATTGATAACATTCAAGTAAATTCTAAAACAATTCAACAAAAAAGTTTTTGATTAAAAACACCTAACAAATCAATGATTTTACTTGAACGGATTGAGAATAAATCACAAAATGTGAAGATAATGCTAGATAATTGATAAGATGTTGTAAAATTGAAAGTGAATCATATTTACTTGCAATAATTAAACTAAGGAAAACGGAAGAAAAACGATCTTTTTTTCTAATTCAACTATAATTAATTTTACCTATTAATTTTTGTTTTTTCAAATAATTGTAAACCATCAAGACGTCGTTGTCGTCGTTCTAATGCTTGCAATGTTTTTTCATTTATCTCTTTTTCTATTGGTTTTGCTTGATTAGCTCGTTCAATAGTATTCCGATCACCTACAACAAAAACAAAAACAACAACAATCAACAATCACCTTAAACAATGTTCTTTCATATCATACTTACCAACATTTTCAATCGGAATTGTATAAACATTCGTTGTACATTCATTTGGAAAATCCAGAAAATCACAACAAGGACTAAATCATAAGAAATTTAGTTTTAATTGTTATGTTTTTTTTTGTCTTGAACTTACAAAGTTGAATTTTTTTCACCAGCTGGTGTTAAATTAAATATAAATCCATTGCCACCAGCACAACGTTGAATTACAGAAGCTAATATAAGTCCTTGACATGATTCAACAATAGCAACATTCGAGTCATGACTTATATTTGATAATGATAAAAGCATTGCTAATGTATCACGTCGTAAATACCTCGAATAGAGAAATCATATATAATTTAAGAAATAATTGAATCAATGATAAATACAAAATTTTTTGAAGATCATGTGTATATGCGTGACACAATAGACGAATACTTGGTTTCCATACACGATAGATTTGAATATATCTGTGAAAAGAAAAAACAATTAGAATTGACTAAAAAAATACATATTGACGTTACTTTTTCTTTTTTTTATTTAAATATTTTTGTTGAGAAAAAGCAGTTTTCTTTTCAAATGTTGCACTTTTTGATACAAGTTGAGATATAATTAATTGACCTGATACACCTTCAGATTTTAATTGTTCAATTTCTTCATGTTGTAATGTTTGATTAGCACTACCATCATCACATAGATCTCGATTATCTTGACCAGCATTATCCGACGATACATCTTCTACAGAATAAAAACGACATACTTTTTTTTCTTTGTTTTTATTTCATTTAAGGAGATATTTCAACCTGTTTGAATAACTTCTTTAGCTTGATTTGTATCAATTTTACATAAATATTTATCTTGAAGTTCAAAATATGATCCATCACATTGATCAATAAGATGATCGAGAAATATTCTATTTTTATCGATAAAAATTGGACTAAAAGAAAATATAATAGAATTAAGCCTGAATAACAAAATGATTTCTCAATGTACGTATATTTATAACCATAATAACAGAACAGAGATGTCCATAGCGATGCAAAAGATATTTCAAAAATACTATCGCGGTAGCGACAACTTCTTTTTTAGAGAGATTGTAAAATTGAATAAATTTGCATCGGATTTAAGTGTCTATAAGTTCATCAGTGAGAATCGTGGTGAATCTGATGGATTTAATCTAACTGTGCTAATTTAGGACAGTGACGGAAGAGACTTTCGAAGAGTTTTTAAAAAAGTCATCACAATAGCGACAGATTTCTAGCAACAATTAACATACAAGCTAAAAACTTTCCTTTGTTAATAATATTTGAAGACGTTTATTCGTTATAAAGGGTTTTATTTCGATTCACTGTTTTGTTATTACCAACTAGATTAATATGACATATAGAGATATATCATTTTCTTTGCGTAGTTATGGAGGTGTGGGTGTAAGTCTGAGAATAGATCTGGATCTTTTCTACACGCACCTACATAGTGATTGTTGCCATCGTTAATCACTTGCTCATTTCTGTTCTCTCAAATAATCAACGGAAAGTAAATCTTTATATAAGAAAAAGATTAACTAGAATATATTTTTTATCTAATCAACGGGTAGTAAATCGGGGACACGCTGCTCAAGATATAAAACATAGTGTTCTGAGAACTATGATACTTGATTATTGGCAGAACTACTTAAATATTTTGCTATAGATAGAAATTTCAACAAAAAAATAATAAGGTCAGAAGGAATATCATAAGAACAATTTCATCTATACTGTTTTCTGAAATACAATGTAAAAGAATTGTTGAAGTATAAGAAAGAAAATTTAGATCTCGCTCGTCCGCAGCACTTATCGTGACAATCATTGTTAATATATGCTCACAGATCATATATCAGCAACGTCTTGCTAAACTACTTCCTTATTGCATTTATGG